ATCTTTAGTTAGTGGCATTTTTGCAAATAGGTAACCAAAAATAATATTTTTGAAAATAGACACACCAAAAATGACATTTTTGCAATTACTCCATCAATCAAATGATCAGAACACTTTTGCACTTGAAAAAAACCAAAAAAAAACTTTGTTGGGTATGATTCCTTTGCTCCTCTTCTTCTGCTTCTCTCTTATCACTCCGTACATGACCACCTACGTCCTAAGAGACTGGGAAACAACCCGATTAACTATTAAGATTAGAAGCTCAAATATTATACTATATTCTAATGGCCTAAGATTTCAGAAAATGTGACAAACTATCGTTTATTTATCCCAAAATATTTAGGGAACTTAGGTGTAATAGCTAAAAACAATATAGAAAAATAGAATTAAGAAATTAACCAAAAAAATAAATAAATGTCAACAATATTCTAATAGCATAACCATTCATAATAACTAAACAAATAAAGAAGAAGTTTAGACCTTACCCTTTTATATTAATTTGATTTAAGATATAATAACAAAATTTGGCATTAGTTATGATAGAAAATAATAAACATCTCTACTCTAGTTTTTGTTTTCTTGTGTGTGTTTTAATAGTAAATTGATTTATGACATAAGAGCAAAATTTATGGCATTATTATATATAGACAATGACATTTTCCACGTGAACCACAATTTCAAAAAATAATAATGTAACAACTCTTGACTAATACGGTGGATTATACTAAGATTAGATCTCTAAATTGTAAGGACCATTTAATCATATATTTTTAATTACATCAACCAACAACAAATCTCTCGTCTTAGTTAGATTCTACTTTGGAAGACATTTTGTACTATTCGTTAGCTCTTGTAGACATTTTGTTCAATTTCACTGTGCATTTCTATTAGGGGAATTTTGATAAATACCCTAAATTTTAATGGAAATTTGATTACTACACTTAATCTTATAAACTTGAAAAACTATACTTTTTTCTTATAAAAAAATACGTAAATATCCTATACATATTTAACTTACTATATAA